AAGGATGAACAAAATAGAATTTCCTACTGGTTCTTGCTCTTCTCTGTCAAGTCTGAGACCCTTGGGTTTGAGAGCAGTTATCACCAAACTGAAGTTTAGATGTCCACAGTAGGAACTCCAGTGTAACAAAACCGTCAGGCAAACTTGGTTCCCATCCTTGCCGTCGTTTCTGTATATTTAGACAAAATTGCATCCGTCCTCTGTAAATACCTGTGCTAGACTTACACCATTGCTTCTAACTCCTCAACCCTCTCTTGTCATCAGTAAAATGGAGTCAAAATGACTTGCCAAGGAATTCATTGCCAGCTGGGAAAGGAGAAGGGCAATGGTACTAGGAAAGGAAGGCTTTTAAGGTGGCTGCTTGCTCTTTCTGGATCTTTCCAAGGTCACTCAGTTGACATCATTTGGAGAGTTGAGGGTAAGGAAGTTGGGGAGATCAGGGAGCTGGTTCTGCTCCTCTTACTACTGTGGCATCTGCAGAACCTGCCATGGTGAAACCCTAGTACCTGAGAGTGTCAGCCCCAGCTGGTGACTCTGGGGAGCATGAGATGAAATCTTTAACTTTCTTTCTTATTATTTCTTTCCCAGCAGCTCCTGGTGTATTTTGCAGCTATGTGCACTCATGCATGCTCATGCACACACATGCACACTCATGAACACTTGTAGACACACATCTTAGACACATATTTCATCCTGCTTGAGAGTCTTCTACTTTGCTGACTGACTTAATCTTTGAAAACACAATAAAATTATGATCTATATAAGTAAAAAGTTGATTAAAAGTAAAAGAAAAATATCAATTAAATTTAAAAAAATTATGCGTTTGCTAAAATATTGTTTCTTTAGAGGACACTGACCTCTATCTAGCATTTGCCCAAGTGCATCCTTAAGGGCTGTCTAAAAAGATAGATGAATTCATTTGTAGGACATAAAAAGACTTCAGTGTCTTTACTCAAGGTTACTCGAAGAATGTTTTCTCTCTGTCTTCCTTCCCCCTCCCCCTTCTTGTGTGTGCATGATTTATATCTTCATTCAAAATTCAGATAAGTGTGCTTCCCTAAACACGACTATCTCAAACTTTTCTTCCTATGATTTTATCTCTTTTTTTTTTCCCTCCCAGGGCTCAAATATTGGTAATGAAAGTGGAGCTGCTAATAAAAAAAGATAAAACACCAGAGGTAAACATTTCTATCTCATTCAAATATTAAAGCTTGATGTGATACTTGGCTTCCATGGCTTATTCCTTCCAGTGTGTCAAACATCTGTTTCTGACTTAGTCCATACACTAAGGAGCTTATAGTAGCCAGTTCAGATCCTCGTGCGTTTCTCTAGATGACAATTCTTATTTTCAGGGCAGGAATACTGCATCATGCCAGGACTGTTCAGGTTCTGAATAACCCAAAGGCCCCCAAGTCTCTGCTTTTCTGCATTCTTTTGTCTGAATCCGAAAAGAGAGACAGTTGAGTCCCTGGAAAGGTAACCCTGGTGAGGCAACACATTCCTGTAATCACAGCTCTTGGGATGCTCAGACAATAGGATGGCTGCAAGTTCTAGGCTGGCCTGGGCTACACAGTGAGCTCCAGGCTAGCCAGGACTGTAGAGGAACAGAGTCTCAAAGGGCTAAGGTGGGGAAGGGGCAGAAAAGTGTCAACTTCTCAGGAAGAACTAGACAGACAACCTCTGTAACCTTCCAAAAGTCTCCTTTGAGAGTCTCATTGAAAATTGTTGTGCTGAGGCGTGGTTAACATCTCAACAGAGAGCCTTGTAAACAAACACATGTTTGTGATTTCAAAGAATATTCATAAAGGATGCTCCTTTCTTATTAAATATATGACTATTGCCTGAGTTCGGATTCTTTCACTGTATATATATATATATATATATATATATATATATATATATGTATATATATATTTTTTTCTTTTCAGCTGGTACACGTTCCCTCTCCATCCCATTACGAGGTTCAGCTCTGAAGAAGAATGGAATAGAAGATTCTATAACCCTTACTTGGATCATGTTACTACAAAAAGCAATAAAATAAAAGCATCACGGCACCTGTCAGACCAATGTCATCTATCAACCTGATCACAAAATTAATCGGTTGTGTTGCAGTCGGCAAAGTGATTGCTTCATGTCCTAGTTTGGTTCCTGTTACTGTGACAGACACCGAAGACAGGAAGTGACTTGGGAAAGAAAAGGCTTATTTTACCTTAAAAGTCCTTCATCAAGGGAAGTCAAGGCAGGAACTAATAGAGACAGGAGCCTGGAGGCAGGAATTGAAGTAGTCATGCAGGAACGGTCTTACTGTGTTACTCCCAGGCTCATATTCAGTTACCTTTATTATAGAGCCCAGGTCCATGTTTCAAATAATCAGACCACCCACAGTGTTCTGGGTCCTTCTACAACAATTACCAATCCAGAAAGTGCCTAATAGACATGTCCAGAGGCCAGCTGGGCACAAATTCTCAGTTGAGAGTTTCTCTTCTCAGGTATGTTAAGTTGACAACTGAGTCTAGCCATCTCTCTGTACAATCACAGGGACCTGAATCTGATCCCCAGAACTCACATAAAAAGTTACCATGTTGGTATGCACTTTTAATCCCAACCCTGGGGAGGGGAGAGACAGGCAGGTCCCTTGAGTCCCCTGGTTATCCAACCGGTCTTAAAGAAATTGTGGACAAATTCTAAGGAATGGTACCCGAGAATGACTTCTAGTCTCCTCATGCTTGAGTACAGAGGTGTACTTGTGTCTTTGTAAATACGTGCTTTTATACACACACACACACACACACACACACACACACGACTAAATTGTCATGACTCAGTTATCTTGTCAGCATCTTTTTACAGTGCTGACCTTGCCTTACTTTGAAGGTCAGAACTCTTCCCTATGTGGGGAAAGAGTTTCTGGGTCCTTCTGATGCCACTGAGAGAAGGAACGGGGGAGCCGAGGGCATGAACCCATGACAGCACACTGTGAGTACTGCTCACAGCCAGTCTATAGGATGCACAGAACCCTGCTCCAAGTGCTTTCATTACCCCCTTTAGTTGTAACAAATCTCTGAGTACATAATTTAATTCCAGTTATACAGAGACCTGAGGTTTGGGGAACTAATCTGCTCAATGGTACAGCTAGTCAGTGACATAAAGAACCAAGGCTTGTGTCTTCTGCTTGTAGAACAATATTGTGAATGTCACATCATAGGTACAGCCATGTTGTGTACATTAAAAACCTTTTATCCAGGACAGCAATATGACTCTTACAGTAAAGGCCCAATGACCTCAGTTAGAAGCCTGGGACCGGGATGGCAGCGAGGAAGCCAACTCTCACAAGTCGGTCTCTGCCCTCCATACACATGTGCTTGCAAACACATGCAATAAATAAACACACTTTAGAAAGCTTTCAGTAATCTCTTATGCAGAGAGCCTGGGGAACTTTTACAATGTCAGCAGTGGTTAGAGGGTTTTCTCTGTGTCCCACACCAAAAGTTCTGTTCTTCTGGAGCTGTTAATACTTAGCAGAAGTGCCCGAGCATGGTTCTGAGCTTCATAGTCCTGACTCCTCTGACTTGTCTATCTGTCCTCACTGTGTTGTCTGAGGCTGCTTGTTTGTTCCTGGCCACACAGACCCAAAATAGTCACAGAATATATATACGGTTTCCCCTTCCTCTACTCCTGTCAGTTTCTCCCAACCTCTCCTTCCGTCCGGGCCCACTTTCTTTCTGTTTCTCGTTAGAAAAAAAAAAAGACTTCAAAAGGATAATAATTTAATATAATACGATAAAACAAAAACTAACATAAAAGACTATGACAAAACAAACATAAAGAAATGGAAGGAAAAGAACTCACGAAAATGCACAAGAAACAGACCACTACTTCACACACCTAGGAATTACATAAAAACACTAAACTAGAAGCCATGATATATTCAAAGGACCCGTAGGGTATAAAGAGAGACAATATATACAAATAAAATTAAAAAAATAAAAATAAGATAAAAATTTTAAAAAGTTTTAACACAACATTATGAGACAAGGCCCACCCTCCCCCAAAGGTGTCACTGAATTCGTTTCTGTTGGTGTCTACTGCTGGGCATGCAGCCTACCCATAAGAGTAGTTTGTCTCCCTGTGGGGCTGCCTTGGAGAAAACTGAATTTTCACCTGCAGGTGGGTCACATTTTGTAAATGAGGAAACTGAGGGAAGGAAAGGCTGAAGTAGCAACCGGCAATCTCCTCTCTCTGACATTCTGAGGTTCACATGATTCCACACTTTCTCTTTACTGATCAAGTCCCCCATTCCTTTGCCCTGGACCTAAGAACTAGATGAACAGCAAAACAGGCAGCAATGGAAGGAGATCAGACAGTGCAACCCTTGGCTGTGTAGGCTCTCAAGGTAGATGGACCTGAAGTGTTGTCTGTGAGCCCACCAGCATGTGATAGGAATTCATCCTAATTTCCCTTCCAGACAATGAGAGTATGATTGCATGAGAGAAAGCCATGTGGTAGTCCAGGCTGACATCCAGTGCTCGCTGATAGGTGCCATGTCTTTGTGCTTGCTGGCAGCGCTTCTCCCTCCAGGGTCCTGTAAGCGCGCCCAGCATCCACACCTGAGTTCTGACCACTTGTCTGACCAAGGGTAGTACGTGTTTGCCTTCTATTTGTCTCTTTAGAACTCTGCCCATGTAAACAAGAATTTCGGCGAAAGGAGATCCTGTAGACCGACATTTAGCAAACGAGCCGATCAATTTTTATCACAAGGCCTGTGTGTTGTAACCTTGAACAAATTGTAGGTTCGACATTATTTGTTTTAAAATCCTGTACTCATTAACGAACGCCAACATTTCTTCATTGCGGAGTTCTTCAACTTTATGAGAATCCATGGGAGCGCTAAGGCAAAAAAAAAAAAAAAAATCACCCAAGAAGTTAATGGGTAATTATAAAGGCTTGAAAAGAATATAAAGTCTTCATATCTCTCAAATGGTGGAACTTCATCTGAGACGATGGAGGTTATTAAAACTCTATTTCTTATTGCTTTCCTCAGCTCCCTTAAATGTGAGCCTCTTCAAACAAGTTTACTACACGCAGGTAGGAAACCCCGTCTCCTGCCCCTTGTGGCCTGAGTGTAAGGATGTGTTAAGTGACCGTGTGTGTAGAAAAGCTTATCTTTCTCCGCAGTCATCCCCGTCTAAAGAGTCACTGAAACTTGCTAGACACGAGTGTGTGAAACAACTACAGGAAGGAGGCTAGTTTAGTGATGCCACTCACCTGGGACGATCTCCCTTCAGCCTTCCTTCCTTGTTCCCATCCTAGATAAGAGAACGCAAAACTTGAGCTGATGTTTGGAACTGGCTAAGTGAATTTAAATAGACTGAAACTGTGAATGACTGCAGAAACAATAATAGAAGCTACAGTATTCGTACCTGTCATCACCAGGCAGTATGCTCTTTACACATTTTACTTTACATGTTTTCATTTCTCTTTTGCATGTATGTGTGTATGCGCGTGCATGTGTGCACACCCGCACACACGTGTGCATCTGTGGAGTGTGATGTGTCCCTATCCATATGTTTTTATGGACATACGTGCAAGTGTATTTAGTGGCTGGAGGCTGACATCGGGCATCCTCCTCAGTTGCTCCTCAACCTTATTGTTTTTAAACAGGATCTTTTACTGAACCTGCAGCTTACTGATTGACTAGACCGTCTGACCAGTGAGCTCCAGGGATCCTCCTGCCCTACCGCCCCCAGCAATGGGATAACAGGTGCATGCCACAGTCCCGGACTTTTGAAGTAGGTTCTTGAGATCTAAAGTCACATCTGTAATGATATTTCATTCATTATAGCTGGACAACAAGCACTCTCCTGGCTGGGCCATCTTCCCAGCCCCTCATTTAATCTTAGTACCCGCCCAAAGCACTAAAACATATTTCATACATAAATGCAAAGAAGTTATTTCCTTTCTACTTCTATGAATAGAAGTTGAAATCTGAAGAGCTTTCTCTAAAGCCTTTATTGTGTGCGTCAATAGTCATTGCTAATGATTGTTTACTTAGCCAAAAATTGCTTAGTTCCTTAGAGACCATTAGTGTAAGAAGGAAGACACAGCTGCGTTGAGATGCGTGCATGTGTGTGATGAGTGGGTGCTGAGGATGGAGGTGATGAGCAGTCCAAAGTGTGGGAGATGCTTTCTTTGCTAAATCAAGACCCACAGATTGTTAATATTTAGAATTTTATTCCCAAGTGCTAACATTTGCTTTTGAATAACTTTTAATGAAAGAAGAAAAGAGTTTAACCAAGTCATTAAGTTTAAAGAATCCAGGACTTGCGTGCATGTGTGCATGTGTAGAGCAGAGTACAATCTTGTGTGTTCTTCAGATGCCACCCATCTTGAGTTTCAATTTTTTTTTTATTTTTTGAGACTATGATTCAACCACATCATTTCTTCCTTCCATTTCTTCTCTTCAAACCCTTTCATGTGATTCCACTCACTCTACCTCAAATTCATGGCTTCTTTTTCTTTAATTGCGTGTGTGTGTGTGTGTGTGTGTGTGTAATATACTGCTCAGTCAGTATAATGTTACGTCTATGTCCTTAGAGCTGACCATACAGTATTGCATAACTAATTAGTGTGCTCTTCCTTGGGAAAGACTATCTCTCCTGCTCTCGGCATTCCTTTACCTAGGATTGTGACCTCATGAGCTTCCCCCCTCTCATGTTAAAATGTCTTTTGGTGTCGTTTTGTTTTATTTGGTTTTTGATTGGCTTGGAGCTTGCCAAATAGGGTAAACCAGCTGTTTGTGAGCACCAGGGATCCACTTGCACCCACCTCATCAGCAGCTGGATTACCAGCTTCCACCACCATGCCTAGCTCTTTTTTAAAAGTGGATTTAGGGGATTGAACTCAGGTTTTTGTGCTGAGACAGCAAGAACTTTACCAACTGAACTATTTCCTCAGGCCCTAATTCAGAACTACAATTCAACTACATGCGATTTACTAATAACCAGCAACAGAGTTCAGCTGTATTTGAATATTAAAAAAATCACTCACAGGAAACACTTTAAATTCAAAGGAAGATATATACTGGTAAATTGTTCTTATGATTACTGCCAATGAAAATAAATCTAGAAATTTGGGGACAGATAATGAGATTGTTGAACTTAAAGGAGGTTTTCAATCTGGAAAAGTTCCTGTTACACAGTTGCCTTAGTCGATCTGAGCCACTTTACCAAAAATGCCACAAGGCAGGAGAATTATAAATATAGATGTTTAGTTCACACAGTACCTGAGGCTCGAGAGTCTAAGACCAATTGCTAATACCAGTATCTGGTGAAGGCTCTCATATTTGGTACTTTGTACATACCTGCCTTCTGGTCCATGATGTCTTCTTGCATGTGGTAAGAAGGATGAATGACTCCCATGGGCCTCTTTTTTAAGGACACTAATTCCATGGATGAGGGTTCCACACTTATGATTCTTATAAGTTCTTACCTCAGGTTCAGAATTTAACACATGAAAGTCAGGGGCATAAACTCATCCAAACCACAGCAGCAAACAAGACCTTTTTTCCAGCCAGGCAGCATATTAACCGCCAGGATCACTTGGAGGAAACCCTAAGAGACGCGTGAGTTTGATTATCATTATCAATATCCTTTAGTTTGAAATTTGAATCGAAATCATTTTGGGGAGAATAGGGTGATACAACAAAGAAAGAAGGGGCAAAGTCATTGCATATTCAACACACAGATCTTATGTTCCAGTGCCATCATTTTGGTTGCTCAGTTTCTTCAGGATGCAGCTTATGTCAAGGTCCAAACCATAGCTGAAGAGTTGCTGGATCGAGCTGAGAAGTGTAAGAGTCTCAGACCACACGAGTCACCTGCAGAGTGCGCTCACCAGTTTGTAGGTGGATCACGTTGCTCTCTTCTCATGGTCTTCGCTAGATGGTAAACAAAAGATGTTGCTATAAACAGGACTGCTTGAATAGTTAGGACATTGCAGAGCAAGAGTATGTGTATGAATCACACTCCTGATACAATCTTTGTAGACTTGTAAAGCTATATTTAATCATTTCTCTCTGGGAACCCAGGTTCTGAGGGCCAAGCACTCGAGGGAATGAGTCACAGCCCTGACGATCGGTAAGCTTACTTACGTGGACTGCTCTGCCCGAGTCACCAGGAGGCTGGCGTCTGACATTTTCATATAAAGAACTTTGGAAAAACTGAACTAAAATTAAAATTCATTAAAAAGAATTTCCTTAAGAATATGAAAAGAGACAAATACTTTTAGAGATCCCTTTCTCAGTTAGAAAAAAATGGACATCGTTTTGTTATAAAACTGTCTTGTGACTTGCAATTCCAATAAAATAGAAATTTTCTAGAGAAAATTTTTAGTTTTAAAATTATATATATGTATATAATACACAAATATGCATATATATATGTGTTTATACTGTGTGTGTGTGTGTGTGTGTGTATGTGTGTGACACACAGAGGTCAAAGGACAACTTTCCGGAGTCATTTCTCTCCTTTGACTCTGTGGGTCCCAGGGATTGATCTCAGATCATCAGCCTTGGCCGCAAGTGCCTTCAGCCACGGAGTCATTCTGTTTCCCCTCCCTGAGTTTTAGGATCAGTTATTCTCAGGCTAAATAATGGACATATAAGTGAGGTGTAACTTTTTTTCTTGATTTATAGAGTTTCCTGCTTCATCTCTCGGGACTAACGCCTGTGCATAGTGTTTCAGACTCTGAATGCGAGGGATGACATCAATCTACACTAGTCCATGTTGTAAATGAAGATTCTGCCAGTGGCTACACTCATTTTAGAGCAATCTCTTCTTTATTTCTGCCTCAAAAGATGGCTTTTTCTGTATTTATTCCTCAAATACGGAACATGCATGCCAGTTGAGGTTTACCAAACGCCAAACATTTCCTGCCACATAAAAACATTTGAAAACATTGAGATGATTACATTTCCCATGAGGAAGGTGACAACAAACACGCACTGACTCAAAGTTCAATTCTTAAAATATGTTTCCATGGAAACATAACTAAAAATGAGTAGGAAAAAAGCAAATTAGTAGCATTTTTTTTTTTTTTGGTGGAGAGGTCTCCTTAAGAATATCTTGCCTTGGAAATTCTGAATTATATCTAATTATTTCTCAAAAGCCTGTCAATTGCTTGAGAATGAAGCAACTTCTTAGGAAAGGAAGAAATGGTAAATTCTCTCTGGTCAAAAACTAGCATATGTGGGTTTAGATTTAAAAACCTAAAAGGGGTTCAACATGTGGTTCAGTAAAGGCACTTGCTGCTAATTCAGACAGCCTGAGTTTGATACTAGGAATCCAGAAGGTGGAAGGAGAAAATGCCCCCCCCAAGTGTCCTCTGACCTCTCTACCTGCTCCAAGGCACACACCCCCTCACCATACATAACAGATAAATGAATGTGAGAAAATTAATGCCTAGAAGATTTTTCCTTAAAGAGTATGCCTGGAGGCTGGCGTGGTAGCTCAGTTGATGAAATGCTTGTTGTACCTGTGTAAAGACCTGAGCGCGTGTCCCACTATCTCTGTCAAGCCGGGCACAGCCGTCCATTTCCTCAGTACCGACAGTGGGGTCCCGAGACAGGCGATTCCCAGAGCTGGCTGATCTGTCAGCAGAGCTGTAGGTTTATTGAAAGACTTTGTCTTAGAGTTAAGATGGAGAGTGAGAAAGGCCTAGCACTGGTCTCTGTCTCTCCACATACGTGTGCACACAAACACGTAGAAGAATACACATGTACATACAGAATGAAATAACTAAAATTAAATCTGTGTCCCGAGATTACTGGATTCAAAGCTCAGCATCGTGCCTCCAGTTTAACGTTCCTATGGTAGGGAATGTCGGTCTCCTTCGCTTCTCTTGCACGTCCCCCTTTCCTCCTACAGATGGGTACCTTCCTCACCCATATGTGCAACGACCAAGGGCTGATGGGCAATCAAGTGCTCAGTGACTGCTGTAAGATGGAAATTACAGCAAGACTCCAGTGCTTCCTGTCCTCCCAGAAAGACGACACAGACAGCATCGATGTACCCCTGATTCCAAGGCCTGAGCTGACCTGTGAGACAGATGAGGGGACTCACATGCCACTGAAGACAAGGTGGACCACTACTCTTTATCGTGGCCTCATCAGAAGAATATTTTCCAAATTTTAAGACAGACTCTTTTTGCACATAAAATTCTCTAAAAACTGAGGTTTTATGATAAGGAATTGAAATGTAAACGAGTTATGATACATCTTTTTTCTTCTAAGGAGAATGTGGTCAGTTAGCATCCTATTGGATCAATAGGGCCTGGGAATCTGCTGTGGAAGAGTAGAAATGATTCGGCCCTATAAAGTGCTCACTTCCCTGATTAGGAAGACCAGGAGTTGGATGGGAAACAAATGCTAGTGCTCAACAAATGTGGCACTAACACAGCTTCTAACACTGAGAAAGGTCACCAAGAGGCTCATGTCTGCCTACAGTCAGCCAGCCTGACTAGACAAGAGGAAGGACAAGGCTCTGGGAAGGCGGCAGTGCCCCCGTTGATAGCTCTAGCTGGCTCCCACGAGACCCACTGACACCCTGTGAGGAACACGAAACAAGGAAGGAAGGCAGCCTTGTCCTTTACCCTGATGGATGTCTCAGCAGCGTGGATAGTTGCACTGTGTACATGTGTTGTATGTAAAGCAGCAGGCTATTGCAGATAACACCGGAGGTAAGAATGGCCTCTAAGCAGACCACCCCAGGGATGGCCAGGGGCGGAGAAATGGTAGACTACTATGTAAGTCCAGATTCCAGGGGTGTCTTTTGCCTGTGGTGCTTGGCCTGCGCCACCCTGACCTGTGGAGGTGAGCTTGTGCTTCTTCTTTACCTGCTGACGTAACCTTGCCAGTGCCACTATGTGAATTCGTCTTCTTTGAAACCATAAGAATCAAGATGGCTTCAGTGATTGGCATATGAGGGAATTCAGAAGGTACCATCTAGCCTTTTATCTATCTATCTATCTATCATCTATCTATCTATCTATCTATCTATCTATCTATCTATCAATCTATCTACCTATCTATCATCTATCTATCTATCTATCTATCTATCTATCTATCTATCTAATCTATCCCTCCATGCACAACAAAAGGTCCAGATGACTAGGCGTCAAAAAGCAGAGAGTCCTGGAGACAGAGGCTAGCAAGAGTGTGCTGTCCTGGGGAGAAGCATCAGTAGATACCAGAGAGAGAGCATCTGAGAAGTGTGAGGCAGGTTCTGTCATTTGAGCCAAGAAGCAAGCAATAATTGTAGATCAAACAGAGGTGAGTCTTCAACTGAAAAATGGGCTGTGTAATCCTGGGGCAAGTGATACAGCTAGTACTCTAGCACTACCAAGTTCACAGACTGGAGTCCTAATCAGCATGGAGTTGCATCTTATGAGAGACAGGTGCTAACAAGAAGTCAGGGGTTAGGGTCAGGAAAGGACAAGGGGAACAAAGGACGGTGGCTCTCATTAAGTGTAGCTGTTTCTACTTGAAGCAGGCACTAACATGAGGGATAATCCTACATCTGACTGATGGACCCAGAGTCTAGGAACTTAGTGGTGATTTGATAATAGATTTTATTCACATCAGTCTAGAGGAGACTAGACAATACAGAAACGAGGGACTCAACCCTTTTTAATTTACCCTCACAGGGGCAGAACTGCCCTCTGAGAGTTCTGAAGCTTTGTAAAGAAAGTATGCGTCCTCATACTCTTAGTTAGAAAGAACTAAAGGATCACATGTCCAGCAAGTTCTAAAATGCCTGGCATTAAGGGTGAAATATGAGTACTGCAACTCATGTATTAAAGTATTGCTATCTACAACAAACTTCAGGCAACCCCAAAGCATCCCACAGCAGATTAGAAGCACAGCAGGTATTCTGAAAAGCACTGCTGTGGACTTGTGTCACCCGGGGTCCATGCTCCCAAACAGAGCTGAGCACCTTGCCGCAGTGCCTACTCTCGGAGACCTGCTTCCCAGGACTTCCAGCATGGGCACTTCCCGCTTCAGTTTCCTGCACTATTTTCCACCCTTCCCCCTGGGTCCATGAAACTGTTGGAGCTTTTCCCAAGGGGCCTCTAGGAATGGGCAGATTCAATATCTGTGGTCATTCCTTATTGAATAGAAAGATACCGTGCACAAGCATGTGTATGTGTGTGTAGGGGGTCAAAGGATAACTTTATGGGGCCGTTTCTCTCCTTCTCCCTTCGATTGTGTTCCAGGTATCAAACTCTGGTCACCAAGGAGTGTGGTAAGTACCTTTGCCCACTGAGCCATCTTGTTGAATACTTAGGTTGATTTCTATGACCTTCAACTGGTCTGCTCATTGGGCGAGGCAATGGAATCGAAGACCTGGAAGTCTTCCTTTAGCTCTCTCTCCCCTTTAGCACCCTAGTAAGTAGTTACCTGTGCTGTAACTGTGACTTTCATCTTGGCTTCCCAACTTACTTGGCTACTTGGACATCTGGCAGTTCAGTTTTGTTCAGCTCAGCTCAAATTCCTGTCTAATGAGTAACTGAATCTCACATGCCTCTGTGTTGGGCTGCACCACTGGGAACACATGTTTATAAAGAAAGAGGATCGAGAGTGTAGCAAAGAAATATGTAGCCAAGCTTAGAAGTGAAGAACAGCGTTCCCATTAATATTTTATTGACCACAACTCTCAACTTCACTACAGAGGCTGGGAAAGTGGTCTTCCTGAGTACCCAGGAAGAGGAAATGGATCTGTGGGAACACACAGGTTTGGTCTATAGCGTTGACGTGGCTGAGTGCATATTCCTGTGTATGTGAGTCTGTTCTTGAACAAGTTCCACAGTCTTATGCGAGGAAACATAATTCCAGGGAATTTAGTAATAACCGAAAGTACTACAGGACAAGTCTCAAGGCACAATGATACTGACTTTGTTAGTCTAGGAAGAACTTCTGGGTGACCTTGAGAGGCTGCTGACCATCATCAATAATTGTCAAGTCAATTCCTGAGCCAGATGAACAAGCCTGCATTACAGCACAGCTTGGACAACTGAACTTCCTACCTCCCTGTCTCTTGAGGAATGTGGGGGGATTTCATTTCTGGTCACATTTAACCCACCTGTTACAGTCACTTCATGGGCACCCAGGGAATGATCCTGCTGGTCTGTTCACAGTGAATCTTTGAGGATTTTAGGCAAAGTGCTACTAAATCTTGATCGCCAGAAGAGACAAAGTATAAATAAATACTGTTTATGAGAAACAACATTGGTATATGTACCTGAATTTCAAACCACACAACTTTGCAATTGTAAATTTCAGGTCCAGCTATGAAATTTCTCGAAGGTATCCATTCTTATACGGACCCACTATCTTGACCATGTCTGCTTGCTATGAAACAGTTGTTTGGTCATGTTGTCAAGAAGAAAATAAAACCGAGTGCCTGCAGACAAAGGTAGTGTATACATAGCTCAGTTGTCATTTAGGGCTTTGCTATGGAAACTGTGGGTTGTGGACCAGCAGCACAACATCACCTCACAGTGTGTTAGAGATGCAGACTTTTCTCCAGGCCTGGTAAATAGAATCTGGGTTCTTTTTAAAGGTATGCAGTCCTGAAATGGGAAAACCATGACAGACTTGAAAATAAATATATCAACATAACAACCCAGATTTGGAGATGTAAAACAATGATTATTATTTTACTTCCTTTAATGTTTGTGAATCAGGAATCCAGGAAGTAGATCACCTGGAGGTTTCTGGCTCATGAACTTTCATATAATTGCAGTCAGATAACATCTGGATCTAGGGTTCAGGAGGAGCTGGAGCCTCTGGGCATTGGTGCAAGATCTCTTCATGTACAATACCAAGTGCGTGCATGTGGTGTTCTTACCTGGGCTAGTCTGGGCAATTTCACAGCATCCAGTGGCCAGTTGGGTTGCTTCTGTGTAGCCAAAGGCTCGGAGAGGATTCTTCAAGTAGACCAAGAGGAGTCTGTATAGTCATTTGTAATCTAGCCTCGCAAATCATTCCTGCCTGTTCTCCTGTTTGGAACACCATATGACCTTGTCAGCTGGAAAGGGACTGCACGTAGACTTTACTTCTCTATGGGATAATGATGATTAGTCTCTTTTTGGAAAAACACGGGACAGGAGACGCTTTAGCCTTTTGACCATCATCGGGTAGATGCACAGCAGTGATTAGTTCTAGGATAAAAGAGTTTGTGGGGGTGTTCCATAAAGGTTCTGTGTAGGTGGAGGCTGTTTGTTTGTTCCCAGTTGCTCACACCCGGAATAATCATACAAACCTGTATTAATTAAAACACTGCTTGGCCAATCACTTAAGCATATTGCTAGCTAGTCCTTACATCTTAAATTAACCCATTTCTATTATTTCATATTTTACCACAAGGCTGTGGTTACTGGTAAAGTTCCAGAGCATGTCTGTCTCCTCCAGCAGCTTCATGGTGTCTCACTGACTCCACCTTCTTTCTCCCAGCATTCAGTTTAGGTTTCTCGCCTAGCTCTGCTCTGCCCTATCACAGGTTAAAGCAACTTCTTTATTCATTAACCAATACAAGCAACATATATACAGAAGAACTTTCTACATCAGTTTTAAACATTAGAAAATTCTGAATATTAAAAGACTCACAATATAAAGGCCATCAGGCAGATTTTCTATGTGTCGTGCTGAAAACTAACAGTAGTTAATAATCGTTATGATGAATAACTTAAGGCTAACTTAGACTGTTTTTGTCTTGATGTCTTCATTGTTCTCAGTAAGAAATCGTCTAATTTCCTCTAAAATTTACAGAACCTCATCTCTTTCTCCTACCTAACTCCTTCTTGTATATTAAAATATAGATAAGCATATCTGGAGACACTCTGCCATAGCCTAAGAACTCATGGTGGTAACCACCTTCCTTAAAGCTATTTGTTTATATTCATGACCTCCCCATTCTTATTCTGGAGGATTCTGGTTCCTTCAAAAGCCAACTCTCAGTTATCCCTAGAAGGCAATCATTTCTCCTTCCTCTTGGTTTCCTTTTAATGGAAGCCTGAAAGTCAATGGTTATCCTCTGACGTCTGCCTCACTGTCCAGCATTTCCCACCAAGTTGAGTGATGCGAATTGCTTGCATACCATCCTTTTAAGTCACAACAGTTTTCACATCAGTTTCTTCACTGGAACATCTTCCTCAATGTGCGACATGCCCCTATGGTGTTACATATAAGCAGACGCAGTAAGTTAGCTAAGAGGTTTCTCTCTGTGACGGCCACAGTGTTCTAAGCGGCTCTTGTTCTGTCCTTAGAGAAAATTACATTATCAATCATATTGCATATTAGCTGTGTCTGTAATCAGAGTATGCTGAAGCCTCAGAGGCCCTCGTCAGAACAGCCAAATGGTTTTGCATTCCATTTTGAATGAATGTGATGCAACAAAGGGGATAATAATAAAGAAAACTTACAGTTAACTATAACCTATTATTAATTACTATTTAGCAACAGTAAACAAAATTATTCTGATTATGCCAGTTTTTTGTTTGAAGATCATATTATATACATTTTCTGATATTTCTTAAAAATATTATTATAATAAACAACACACAGTTAATATAATGCTTTTGTTGGTTTTTATTTATTTTATGTGTGTGGGTGTTTGGGCTGCGCATTTGTCTGGCATTACATGCATACTTCTTCTAGCTTCAGAGCACTTGATAATAGAGTTACAGATGGTTGTGAGATACCATATGGGTGCTGAGAATTGAACCCAGATCCTCAGCAAGAGTAACAGGTGCTCTTAACCACTAATCCATCTCTTCAGCTTCATATTCTCTCCCATATGTTCTAATTGGAGATATATAGCTATCCTGAAATTTAAAGATTTTACTTACATTGCTACCAGATAAAAATGTTAATTTTATGTATTTCCTTCTACTGCTTTTTTTCATTTGAGATTTTTATTGTATATGTTACTGTGTTCATTCCAAGAAAGTTTTTATTAAATGTTTGATTAAACACATCTATTTTCATTATAAATATAAATGTTCTCAAAGCAATATGTCATTGCTTATCAATTATTCTACTCTTGAACCATCTTATTTGGCTTTAAAGTTTGCCATCATAAAAAACAGGGACATCAGTTTGCTTATGAAGTTTTGAGCTATGTGATCGCCGGGTAAGTGAGCTGCTATTTTATTTTTTTGCAAAATCCTTGCCCCATTATTCCTTTATGCTCAGCTCCTCTTCAGTCACTCAGAGACTTTCTAATGTTGAGGCGGTAGATGGGGTTTGGTTTTCTGTCTTTCCTAATGATGTCATTAACATTTTCTGTTACTATTGCATTTTTTGATGAGTTAATTTTATGTTTGCAGCTAGAACCTATCAGAAGATATATTAGAGAAATATCTGTGAGACGTCGTCATTTATGTGAAATCAGGATTAAATTCGATGACAAAATAGCAAGAGCCGTGTACGTTTCCTATGTGATTTGTGGGCTGTGTAGCTGCGAGGCTAGTTGTTTTGCCTAAACTACTTTGAAAAGTCATTTGGACATTATTTGACAATGTCTGTCCAGATAAGCCTGGAATTGTTTTCTATACCTATGCTGCTTCTCTGTTGAAAAATAACATAATGGTACAAGAGATGAGTATGAAATCACTTAGTCCTCATCTGCTCCCATTATCTCCTCCATCAGTTTATCTCAGTTGCTCAGATCCCTCAGTGTATAATACATAGATTTGGGGCTTTAAGATGTAGGGACCTAGGGCTGGAGAGATAAAATATATCCCACTCTTGCAGAGGACCCATTAGGTTCCCAGTAGCCACACTGAATGGGCTCACGAAGGTCTGTAACTCAGCTCTGCGGGACCCTCCTGGATTCCTTGGGTAACTGCACCTATCTATGCACATTCTCACACAGACACACCTATACATATCATTACAATTATAAGTAAAACTTAAAACATATGCAGGAACTTGGCTAGGCATGGTGGCATGTTGCCTATAATTCCATCATTTGAGAGGTAGACGCAGAAGGATCAGGAGTTCAAGGTCACTCTGGGCTACATTGTGTGTGCAAGACCAACTGGGTATACAATGAATAATAATGATGATGATGAAGATAGATAGATAGATAGATAGATAGATAGATAGATAGATAGATACAGACTAGAGGCAAACATATGCTCTTTTCTCTTGAGAGCAAGGATGGAGCCGACTTTAATCCATCCTCTCCAGCCTGGACTTGTGTAGTTTTCTATCACCGTCTTCCCCAGTGAGTGATAGCAGCACTGGGATGCCTGGAGGGCAGGGATATTTTATTTTCAGAGAAACTCCAGAGACTTGTCAATAGTCACAACAAAGCCCTGTGCCTCATACGTTTGTCTTTGTGGTAAGGTTGATGTCACAGAGAGGGTGCTCATGTTTCTCAGGCTATCAAGTTGTGTGTTCCAGTGTCTCAGCAGTTCTGTGTTGATAGCAGATCCTTAAATGATGAAGATTACTGTATTGGACGTTATTGCGATTTGATCTTTGTGTGGGTCTATGTATTATAACCAAAGTAAAAAAAATACCTCCTTGCTGGTTTAGACACTTTGTGGTACTTGAAATAGAAATTCAAAATAGGGAGGAAAAGAAAGAAGGAAATGGTATAATTATATTATAATCTCAAATATAGAATAATTACTAAAAGCCGAATGCTATTCTTATCTTATAAGAAAACTCTTTCAAGGGACTTAATTTTCTTTACAGAGAATTGATTCTGCTCACTAAAAAGCAACCTAAAGCTAACTTTTCTGAAATTGCCAAACTGACCACAGATATTAAAAATCTGCATGAGATCTGTTGTGAAGGAAAACAGTGGAGTGTGCACTGGGCAGGTAAGACTCTTTATAATTAAAATTCTTTATTAATTAGATTTATTCTTTGACAATTTCATACATATATAATGCTTTAATATTTTCTATCGTCATCTCCCATATTAGCCTTTAAAAAGTTTAAAATTCTTAAGCAACAATACAGCAGTAAACAATAAAGCTAAAAAAGTAATGACCTCTTCCTTTTACCAGTAGAATGCCTCCTGTCTCCTTTCTGTCCCTAACTAGTGCGGTGATTCTCCTCCTTCACGTTGGTCATTTCCCACATTCCTTTAACTTGTTAGGTTTTGGGAACTGGCCTTTAACTAAATTGGGACTATATTCCATTCTCCATCGCTAACTGCATAAGGCCTAGAGTTGCATCTGATGTCAGTCCCTGGGAAAGGAAACCTGTCAGTGTGGTGTGGAACACCTAGGACATGGGCATGTGGACAAAGACCTATGTTACATCCAAATATAAAGTCCCCAAGTCCCAAGGAAGGAGTGAACTGAGGCTGCCCATGCCTCCTAAGGCCCCAGCCAAGTCCCGAGCCATGTTTCTTTAACAGTCTTCAAGTCTCACCACAGACGAGAAGACCAGGACAAGCTGAAGCCTCATTTCATGGGAAAACTCAAAAGCCTGTGGGGAAAGATCTCCACCCCCAACCTTTTCTGTTCCCCTCATGCACAACTTAGAAGACACACACTGAAATAAGAGTTAAAAGGGGGGAACAGGAGGATCTCCAAGACTGTCAATCTTCAAACATAACCTCTGCTGGGACAGAGTGCAGGACCAAGTGACACCTTCAGGTAATCATTGTGACTGTCGGTGTTACACACAGCTCTGCCACTCAGAGACAGCAGCACCTGCCACTCCCAATTCCTACAACACTGGCTAATGGCCAGACTCATGAACAACACTTTTTTTTTGCATGTTTTGGGGATGCTGCCTCTTTGTATTGAACCCAGGGCCTTGTGCCTGTCAGGCAAGTGCTCCCCTCCTGAGCTTCATCTCTTTGGGTAGACTGACAGATCCTTTCTGACTGAAGAGTGGGTACGTAGAAAAGTAAAGAGACATATGGCCCTGATAGAACCCAGTTCAGACAAAATAAAAGCTGAGAAAGCCTTTCCTTCACACATAAACAGTCCACATACCCAGCGAGTGACTGCAGGACGGCTGCTCTTGCAGGATGGGCTGCAGCAGGCAAGCCAGAGGAATCTGCACTTACCTAATTTTATTGTCTCGTATTCATAAACAAGTTCAAGTAACGGTAAATTGTTCTGGCAACCCTGCCCCAGTTCAGACTGTAATGGAAACAACTCTGGGGTTCCTGGTTTGCCAAAGATAGTGTTTATGTGCCCAGAGAGTTTTCATTACTCTTTAGGGAGGTCTGGCGTGTTTGTTTTTAGTCTGGATGGGTTCTGAACATCATATGTAGGCACTATCTTTGGGTGGCCATTTGATTTTCTATCTTTTGACTTATCTGCCAATGGATTTTATAAATGAAGTACTTGTCACACAAGTGTGAGGACTAGAACTCACATAAAGCTGGACGTGGTGGTAAGACATCTGTATTCCTCGCGTGCCCACAGTGATCAGGGAGCTGGAGGCAAAAGAGTTCCCAGAAACTCTCATGTCAGCCCTGCTAATGCAACAGTGGCTAACAAGCCCTGCTTCAACCCAGATAGAAGGCTAGGACTGACACTCAGGGTTGCCCTCTGACCTCTGACCTTCACACGCGCACCATGGAACCCATGCAGCTGCACTCACACGCTCACACTCTGTACACACAAGCACGCTACACGCCCACCAGAAAGACAGAATGAAAACATAGTCCTTACATCTTAACCACTTTTACAAATCTCATTTTGCTGTATTTTTGGACTTGCGTTGTTTATGTGTTTCTATTCAAATTTCCTCATTCAAGCTATTACTGTTTCTAGATATATGCCTTATAAAGTTTGGGTATTTATTTATGCTCACTTCTAAAAACCAATTTAATTTTCTACCTTTAAAAATATTTATTTTTATGTCATGTGTGTTTTCCCTCTTATATGTCTGTGTATCATGTATGCTCTAGCTCCCAAGAGAGCTAGAAGAGGGTCAGAGTCACTGGGATTGGAATTTCAGCTGATTGTGAGCTGCCAAGTGGGTGCTAGGAATACGAACCCTGGTCCTTCAGAGAAGAAGCCAGTGTCTTAACCAGCGAGACATCTAGCCCTTTAACATTTCCCAGATAGTACTGAGGTCATGTGTCCTGGAATGATTTGAGCTTGTCTGTTAACCCTGAGGTTGTGGTAGAGACAGAAAATAGCAGAACGCTTCTCTGTGACTTCTGCTGTGTGTCAGCTCAACGCGTTCCCAGCAAAACCTCATGGCTCGTGGATTCTGTAATTCTGAACTCATCTGCTTACCCAGATGCAAATCAATATCCATAGCACTTCCATGGCTGGTCCCACGCTAACACACGCTGAGAGCAGCCAAACATTTGAGCTGCCCAATGCACATACCACACCTTTGCGAAGCCCAGCGGGGCACTGTTCTCTATTGCTTCAGCTCTCACAGTATAAACGAACATTCTTTTTATATGCAGTGCACTTAATGGCAACATTTTTGTTGGTAATTCTGATGCTCAAGGTTATTCCAAGTACAGCGATGAAATGCTGTGTTAAGTACAAGATGATGCGTCTTACAGAAAACAACGTGCACAGTAAATAGGTTTCCTCCCTGCTCGTGTCAGGCAATCTGCTATGCGTTCAGTGTTGAGCAAACAACAGCTCATATTAAATAAGGTACCTCACAAAGAGACAGGCACTAAGCGAGGCTATGTCTCGGTTGGTTAGCGGTGTGGCCAGAGGCCAGAGGCCAGAGGGAGTCCTGCGTCTTTCTCAGAGTGGCGTTGATTCAGTATGCACCAACTCGGTGTTTAGACGGAGTCTTGGCTGTTTATGTTGTCATGGATTTAATGAAATTCCTCTTCAAAACATCTCACTTATTAGCGTTTTTTCATTTAGGGTTATTGAGCTCTCGATGGTGCTATCGTTTGAAATAAAAACACCATCAATTATGTAATTGTATGCCCTTTTTCTTGTGTGTTTGGTCTTCTTTTTAATTAATTGGCTCTGGAAGGGGATGGTTTAATTTATTGGTCTTCTCCAAAACAAGTTCTTGGACTCACTCGCCAGGTTTATGCTTTTAATTATATCGATTTTCCTCTTAGTTTTGTCTGTTGCTCTATCACAGATGTTTTGGTTGACTGCTTGGTGGTATTCTCATTCTTTTCAATGCAATCATGCTCACAGCTATTTATTTTGAACAGTAATTTTTTTTTTCCTTTCTGGTGCTGAGGATTGATCACAGGGCCTTGCATCCCCTAAGCTGGAGCTACCCCACTGAATTATACTTCCAAACGTGACATTTCTTTTATCTCCCGCCTCCCACCATGCATGCTGTGTTAGTAGATCTCTCTCTTACTAGCTCCTTTCTCCTTCATCTCTGAGGAAAGATCCTTACATTGCACACCGTAGAGCCGCCTGTCTACAAGCTCTGCCTACTGTTTACAGCACTTAGCGCGCTTCACCGTATGGATTCCCAGCTCTGCTCTGACCGAAAGGAGAATGTTTATTCCCAACTTTAATCTGCGATATTGTTATAAAGTTATCATGTGATAGTCTCATGTCAATCACTAGAACTCAGTAAGCTTCTCTCAGCTTCTCTCTGACTCCGCAGCCCTGAAGGAACAACCATCTAGACAGTGTGGTAACTGCTACACCACTAATTATTTTAAAGGCTGGTGACTAGTACCAAAACTAACCCTTCAATTTTATCTGAATCTTAGAATACCTACTATATTTCTGATAATTATTCCATTTTTTTAATTTATTTTCTGCAGCCTTACCAAGTATTATTTTATTACCCATTTTGCAGACTAGGAAGTTGAGGTACAAAGAGGTGAGAAAGTTTCCCTAATTTTCAGTCAGAAAGTGGCAATTTAAGAAGTATACTTAGCTGTTAACCACAGCATCATTTCTCTACAATAACAGAGTTTTGGTTTTTCACGACAGGGTCTCTCTATGTAGCCCTGGCTGTCCTGGAACTCACTCTGTAGACCAGGCTGGACTCAGACTCACAGAGATCCTCTTGCCTCTGCCTCCTGAGTGCTGGGATTAAAGGTCTGCACCACCACGGCCTGCCTCCAGCTTCCCTCTTCCTCTCCTTTTCTTACTACCCTTTGAAATTCAGTTTCCAGGCAGCCTGTTATCAGCTGTTCTCTCTGTCTGCGTGTGCCTTGGCAGAGCTGGGGAGTCAATCAGCAAAGGCTTTCTCTTCCCTTCCTGGCTAGGCCATTTCTGGACATGAATTGTATTTCCTGCCTGTCTGAAAACCAGGTGGGGCCACTTGCCTGAGTCCTAGCTAAGAGTTATTCCAGTCATTTGAGGTCCAGCTCACAGCTGTCTCCTGGGTTCCATCCTATAGCACCCTCACTCCTGTTCAAACCTAAGGCCATGGTGGCTGGGGAACACTTGTTGAAGTATCTGGATTCCTGTGCCCCACAGCAAAGAACTGTGTCAGGAACACATAGTTAGAAATGGTGATAGAGATCATTTATTCCAAAAGAGAAGGAACTCCTGAGAAATGGAGCAGGCTAGTGAGTTATGGGAGAAAGCATCCTCCAGCCCCACTCCCACCCCATCCCCTCCCTCCAGCCCCACCCCTAAGGGTCATGACCTTTTCTAGGACATTTCTGCAGCACCATCTCGTCCTCATTTGTATGCCATGAGATTTTTCTCAGCATGCCCTGTTTATTAGATGAAGTCCAGAGGAAGAAGAGCTCCCTATCTGTCTTGCTAGTTTCGTTTATGTTAATCTTGATACTTCAGTCTCTAGCCCCTACTCTCCCACCACATTCTCATCCCAGTAACGTTTAATGATAAGGCAACACCAGAAGTCACAGGTAAATGGTGACAAAACTGCTCTTCCTTCCTGGAACTGCCACCTGGAGGAGATTCACCTTTCCTCCCTAACAGGAGGGGGCTATGCCTTGATTGTTCTGAGCCACCGAGAGCTTGCTGGCTTCCTAGTTAATCAGCACACGCACATTCTCAGAGTCTCAAACTGACTCCATTATTTGGCTTCCCTATGACTCTTAGATTTCCATGTTATTTTTTTTCCCTAGATTTCATGAGAACCCCTACTGCTCAGGGCAAATCTCCCTGTAAATGTCTTATAGACGCTTGAAGTCTTTCTGAACTCTAAACACCCCGAGGAAATTCTTTGGTCTCATTCTCCAGCCGCTATCCTCATCTGTTCCTATCCTTGGCCACGAGTTTCAGTGAATCCTATTTCCCACTGTCCCAAGTAATCCTAGATCCTGTCTCCTCATTTCCCTCACTTCCTTTTGTTAAAACAACTTTTCACTTCTACCTATTAGTAGCCCCTAGTGTAGCCAAACCTCAAGTAATACTCCCAATGGCTTTCAAATGACCCTCTCCCAACCATGTCATTCTTTCTAACCTCTAAGATTTTATATACCTATAAAAATAAATACACTAGGATGGCTTTGTCTTCACCTGTTTCATATGACTCAAATTATGCAAGACCATCACTGTGACTTCCATTGTAGACTGTCAATTCCTTTGATTTCTCCTGAAGAATCATACGAATTTCTAAAAATGACCGCTTTGTGGTGTTTCATTTCATTATTGGACTTTCTGAGTAGGTCTAGAGTTCCTAATTTACACATAGAAACAGTTATCTGTGCATTTAAGCAGATATGTAAATAGAACAGCAACATGGACTATACCAAGTAGCAGGCAGAGGATGATGTGGTTCTGGGACCAATGCTTCCCTGACTGGGATCCCACAATAAGAACAACAATAGAAAGACAATAGAAACCTCTGGTTGTGGTTTTTGGACTAAAAGTGAAACATTAATACAATCTGTCTTCTATCTTTTTAAGATAAGATATTTGAGACTCTAAGTAAGGTCAAACAGACAAGTATTTCTTTCCAAAATAAGTTACGATGAATGTCTCCTTGGGCCTTTCTGTGTGCCTGGGGTAGAGCAGTGTATAGTGTCAAGTTTTCCTCTGACATTCTAATTACAACAGATTAAGTTGAAACTAAATCAAATAGTAACTGTTCTGTTCGTGTCTCCCAGCACCAGCTTATGAACTACACCTGCTCTCACCAGGCCATCTTGTCCAGCAAGTTTGCCCAGTGTTGTGAACAGCCAGAACCATTCCGTGGGGAATGCATTGTCAACTTAGAAAACGATGACAAGCCCAACCTGACATCCCTGGCACTCAGAAAGTTTACCGAAGACCAGTCTGCCTGCAAACAATTTAGTGATAAGCAGGATGACTTTCTACAAGAGTAAGGCAGCTTTTCCCTGGTGCTTATGGATTCAATTGAGAGATGGTGCAAACGTGAAAGAAAATGGGCCCAGTGATGGGCACTATGGCCAGGAGGAGATGCTTTTTGGAGCCTGAAGCTGCCAGTAGTTATTCATCTCCACTCATGATGCCAGTGGGAATGTGGGTTCGGGTGGGTGGAAACAATACATGAAAGAGAAGCTAGACGATCCTTTATTCTCAAACGTTGACAACTAGTGTAGGGTTAAAATAAAGAGGCTAGCGATAGTCAAGTGTCACAAGCACTGGGATGAGGGATGCAGGCATAAATAAGAGGATCAAATTGGTATTCCTGGCTAGCACTTTTATTCTAATTAATTTAATATACACTGTCAAATGTACATACCATTTAAGCATTAAAGAGTTGGGATATTAACATCATCAGTGGCTATTCAGAAGTAGATGTTAATTTTTGCATTACCACAAAGCGACTTCAATATACTATATTACGACAACAACATTGTGCTATTAGAATGCCCCCAGAGTCACTTGTGAAGTCAAGAGAATTGAGTTTCCCTCAACATTAGGATGACTTCACTTATATTTTACAAACTACACCTGATACTAGCTAATAAAATTAAATACCACTATCTGAACCCACTCATATAAATTCCTAAGCTTGCATTTGGTACTGAAAAAATCAATGGACCTGTGCAGACTAGACCCAGCAGTGAAAGGCATGTGAACCTGTGAGTTGAATTGCTTTGAGATTCAAAAGCTGTGTGTGTGGTGGTTTGATCTCCCAGGCAGTGTGTTCGAATGGTCAACTGAGGCAGTTGATGAGGAAGCACCAAAGATTTCATTTTCATCCTCTAAGTTTTTTGAAAACATTCTAGAATCAGTTTTATTTTCCTTTTTAAAATTATTATAATGCATGTTTCTGCACATGCCGAGGCTAGCAATATCAGAGTTCCTTAAGTCGGAGTTATAAGCAGTTGTAAGTTCCTGGTCCTGTGGAAGAGCAGTGTGTACACTTAACCATGGGATCATCTCTCCAGCCCCCATTTTATCTCTTTCTGATGACCTAGATAAGTGTGTAGATTATGACTGGACTTGTCAGACTTAGCAGCTTATTTTTTAAAAAAGGGGTGGGGGTGGGGTGGAATGATTCAATGCCTCAAAAGTACATTAATGGAAGGTCCTTTTAAACAACAAAATAATCCCAAAGATAACTGGAAAATATGTCATCCCATAAAATGCTCGAAATTGACCTGACATACAATTATCTAGAGGCTGAGCCAGAACCTACCAGTGTTTCAGGTACAAGTTCTGAATCTGCCATTTATTACCATGTGACTTTGGAAATCATGTGATTTTATTGATTTGGTTTTCTTATCCCAGAGCATAGCTGAAAGCTTCCCAAGGTTCTAAATGCCTTCAAGTCAGTTCAATTTCATGGTCATTATGGCTTTTTGAAAACAAAACAAAAGAAAAGAAAACAAAATAAAACCAAACAAATCCATTGCCTCTGGGTTTTAAGCTTGGTCTTCTCATGTGTCTTACACAATACAGGTTTCTTTATGAATATTCAAGAAGACACCTGGAGTTGGCAGTTCCAGTGATTTTAAGAATACTTGCAACATATAAACAGTTACTGGAGGAATGCTGCAAGTTAGGAAAGCCTTTGGAATGCCACCGCTGTGGGGTAAATTCCTTTTTTATTTATTTTTTAAAGCATGTTTCTCACTAGTGGTTCCGATTGGTGAATGTTCCAGTCCTGTTAGTAGCACATTCTTTTGTAAAATGAGTTTGCATGTTTTCACTAATTACGAATACTAAGCAACCAGCAAAATTTCTCCCTAAACCAGACCATCACACATACCATAGTGACCTGTCGGTTAGAGTGCTTCCTGAGACACCTCCGGCCCCCACACCCTGCAGTGTCTTCTTTGAAGTGAATGTAGATGCCGGCTTGGCACAGTAGCAAAACACTATAGCCTGCTTGGGTCCCATGTCTTGGAAGATGCTTCTCTTGCAAGCTACCATGCTGCCTGATCACAGTCACCATCTCTTGTTACGCATTTTTATGGGAAAGCTAGAGTTCCCACAAGCGTTTGCTTTGATAGTTAGTCATGAATTACCAAACAAGGCCTAGGAAGTTCTGACTTTTGTTACTCTAACTGATGCTTTACCCAAAGCAGGGACTATCTGGGAGGTATCGGTGCATGCCTGTAATCCCAGCACTTGGGAGGCAAAGGAAGGTGGATCTCTCTGAGTTCAAGGGCAGCCTGGTCTTTAGAGTAAGTTCCAGGACAGTCACAGCTACTGAGAGAAACCCTGCCTTGAAGAACAAACTAATGAGGAAGGAATGAAGAGCAAAGGTATATTTCTTTTGGTGCTGAGTTCAAGCAGGTCCAGCTGGTATTATTGTTTCTAGAGAGAAGGCTATGTGAGGGTACACTCGCTCGAAATCACAGGCTACTCTACTGGACAGTTCTGTGACAACTTGACACAAGCTAGAGTCATCGTTGAGGAGCGAGCCTCTGTTGAGAAAATGCCTCCAGAAGATCAGTCTGCAGACAAGCCTGTAGGGCATTTTCTTAGTTAGCAACTGATGTGGAAGGCCAGGCCCCTTAAGTGTGGGGCTACCCCTAGGCTGGTCGTCCTGGGTTTGATAAGAAAACAGGCTGAGCAAGTCAAGGGGAGCAAGCCAGTAAGCAGCACTCCTCCAGCACCTCTGTGCCAGCTCCTGCCTTCCTGTCCTGACTTCCTTGATAATCAAGACAGCTTCCACAGGAACCTACGGCTTCGGCACCATGCAGGAGCGTGGGTGGTCAGAGGTTATGCTATACAGCAGCCTTAACATAGCACCCAACTGAATCAATCTCTTGGTAGCCTGGGAAATCAGGCAATGCCACAGTTTCTAAGTGCTTACTGTAGATAAGATTAAAGTTCAGAAGGTCAGGTGATTTGTCTAATGGGCCACCGCAATAAGACAGGGAAAAGAATATAGCTCAGGCCACTTGCTTACAAGTCAGAGGGAATTTTCTCTATGCCAAACACTGCTTATCAGGGTAAGGCTTACTAAGGGGATATGCTCTTGTCCAAGAGTTGAGTCTGCAGGGTTACTAATGCCTTCTCCCTGGAGTCTATTTCATGGTTCAAGAACACTTTGATTTACTTTCAGCTCTGAAAATCCCATTTGGTCCCTTTCAGTATATTATTGTGGCATGTTTTATAGCCATGACTGTTAATGTTTATATTAGACCATAACTTCTTATCACACCTTGATATCTCTATACCTGTATAGTTTATGTTTATATTGTATGCATGCTGCTAATAAGGCTAATTATTAACTGAACCAATGGACATACGCACACACATACACACTGGGATACACACACACTGGAATACATACGTACACATTAAGACATACACACGCACTGGGACACACACACACACTGACCAGTAAAAGAGATCTATATGCTGCCTCTTCCTTTCTCTTTCTGGCTTGATGACTGATTTGCCTTATGGTTATAGAATTTGTCACTGAAGCCCTCAAACAAGTCTATATGATGGTAAGATAAACACTCAATCATGCTGTTTTACTGTTTTCCCGCAGAGCACATGATGATTTCTCTCTCTCAAAAAAAATCATTTTTTTTTGAGTTTCCCAAACTCACTAATTGGGAAAAAAAAGAGTTGGTTAAGCAAATATTGCTATTAAACTATTAGGGAAAATGTAATCCCATCTCAAGGGATATTGTTGTGACCCTGGATAAACATTCACAATGTCTGTTTTTCAGAAAGAGATGTTTCAAAGAGTGGTCCGTGAAAGTCGTGACCTTGTGAAAACTTACTGTGACTTACACAGGACATTAGGAGGCAGTAACTTCCAGGACAGGCATGTTCCCAGGTGGCCCAGCTCCGTCCTCGTCAGTGCCTATTGGTTAATCCCCATGCTAAGATTTTCTCAGAATTTGTATCCACTCTTCGGTTGAGCGTTTACTAGCCTCCTGTGCTCATTCGGCAGCCTCCATCCTGCTTCCAAGCCCAGTTCCCCAGCTGCCACTGAGGTCAGGGAGCAAAGCAGCCCTGCAGGGCCACCATGGACTCTCCCACCTGACCATTTTACCTCGGGGCTTTGACCAGGACTTGGAGTCAAAGCTGCAATAGAGATTAGAATCCAAAATTCCTTCGCACTCGTAAGTCAGGTTTTCCAGGCAAGGCTAGTATGGTGACAAAGATGGATGCCTTAGTTATTTGTCAAAGGGACTACGAACACCTTGGGTATAGAGAGCCTGGCAAATCCTATTTATCAATGATTAAGTAACCAAAAAGTAAAGCCCACTTGAGGAATTTCTGAGGTCTTGCTAGAATGGTCTGTTTAGAAACACAGTACTAAGAAAAGTTCAGTTTGATATAGTATCTCATAATATCGAGTTTAAATTAAATGTCCAAAATAATGGAGCACAGACAGTATCCTGGCTCCTTGAGGCGGGGTTTTTGGCTCAGTGCTTTCCTGTTATGTTGTGTTCAGTTGCTAATGCCCATTGTAAAGATTAGATTTGTGGCTCTCTGCTTTAGAATGGAATAAAATCTTCCAGAAGACATAGAACCCATGCCTGAGATTCTCCCTGGCTGCTATAGAAACTCTCCTTCTTCCATGTGTCTTCTTCTAGCAATTCGGCAGTTAATTCTAGGTGTTTGTGGTCTTGAACAAGCCAGTCTGCAGTCTTTCTCTTCAAAACCATTTCATGTCGCTCTGTCTTCAACACTACTTGCTATCCCAAGTCTCCTCATTTTCTTTTACTTGTGTTGCCAGAAGGACTTTAAAACAGTGTGACGCTCTGCTTTGACTATTGTGAATTCCCAGTGCATTCTTCTCATAGAAGCCATTACCTTAAAAATGATGCAAAACTGATATCATATCTAACCCCCCTCCAAAAACAAAAGAAAACCAACGAAACAACAAACCTCACAGTCAGTGACTTCCCAAATCCCACATCCTGTGCCCTCACCTGGCTCATTTGGAGGCATGGTCATTTCTCAGTTCCGAAGACCTTTCCTCGGGATACCCTGCCTGACCTTCTTGATGGGAAAGAGACCATCTTTTATGTCCTGTTAGGGAAATAACATTAGAAACAAAATTTGTCAAGGTAATATTGAAATAGACTAGCTTATTCTTAATTGAATAAATATTAAAACAGAAAGAAGTCCCAGTCCCTGGTCACAGCTAAGCAGACACAACCCTTTGCGCACAGTAACTGGTGAACTCATTCTGAACAATGACTAGCGCTCAGGATGATTTGACTGGCCTGCTTGCCAAACTCACCCTAGCTTTACCTGCCAATTTACCTAGCTCTCGTTCACTATGTCTGTAGAGATCAACAGCCCTGCCCCACCCCCAAAAACCTTCTTACATCTTTAAGCAAGGAGGTCTTAAACTTGCAATAGGACTCTTCCCCCAAGGTAAGCTCTCCCCACAGCCAAGAACTGGGGAAAAGGGGGAGCTGCCTGTCCCTAGATCCTCGGTCTCTGAAGAAGACATTGCTGACTCATAAAGCTGATGAAAATGTAGATTAGTTTTAAAATGCGCGTTGTGTGTGCTTCAATGAGAGGAGAAAGTCTTCTAAGGTTTTCTGAAGTGGTCGCACTAAGAAAGATGGAGGGAGGCAGAGGCAATTCCTTCCCTCATTTTTGGCGGGAGACTTGAACCTTTTTAAAGTTCTGACTTAGCTCACAGCACTGGCAGCTCTCTGCACTGGGCACACACAGTACTTGTCTGCCCCTGTTCACTGGAGTGTGAGTCCCTGGAGAACACGAGGTGCTCCACACGAGGCAAATGGTCCCTAGGAGCTTCATCGTGGCTCCTCTCAGAAACTGCTTACTCTAGGTCTGATTTTTAGCTTTGAACGTATCCCTGATTAGTCCACTAAAAATGGGTTAGGACGGAAGAGGGCATGGGTATGAGGACAACAACAAATGTGTCCAGTTACCCTCTGAGCCATCAGGATGGCAGAAGAGATTGTTAACCCTCGTCTAATGCCTCGTTCTTCTTATATCAGAGATAATGTTGACTACCATGGGAAACTGTCAGTCAGTGGTTCTCAACCTTTCTAATGCTGCAACATTTTAATAGTTTCTCATGTTGTGGTGAGCCCTGTAGGTGAAGTTTTCCATTCTAAAAACCACTTCAAACTACCACACAGGCTTATATTAATTGTAAACGGTCAGTAAATAGCTCAGGCTTATTACTAACTAGCTCTCTCATTTTAAGTTAACCCATATTCCTCATTTACCCTCTGCCATGTGATGGTATCTTTATTAGCATGGTGGCATGTTCAACTCCTGCTCCCTCTGTATCTGACTGATGATGCCTCCGACTCTGCCCCTCCTCATCCCATCATTCTCAGCTTGGCTTTCCCACCTGACTCTATCCTGTTCAACTATTGGCCAGTCAGCTTGTTTATTAAACCAATCATAGCGACATATATTTATACAATATACAGAAGGATTATTCCAGAGCAGACCCTCAACCATAAAATTATTTCATTGCTACTTCATAATTGTCATTTCACTACTGGTATGAATCAAAATGTGAATATTTGATATGCAACCCCTGTGAAGCCCCCCAAAGGGTCACAACCCACAGGCTGAGAAGCGCTGGTGTAGATGGATATCTCTCTGTTTGTGCATATTACCACGAGTAAGAAGGACTTATCGTTTTAGGCTTACCATCCTTTATACTAAGAAAACCCCACAGCTGTCTCTGCAGGAGTTGGTGGCATCCTCAAGGAAGATGGCAGCAGCTGCCAGGAGATGCTGCCCACTAAGCGACGAGCTGCAGTCTGCCTGCGTGGAGGATGCGGTAAGGTCACCCTTGAGGCACCTACCATCTGCCTGAAGTTCTGCTCTCCTGCCCCCAGGAATCAACCTCATTTCTGCAGGCTCATCTCTGACCTTCCAGTGGGGGTTAATAGTCCTCAGGGGAGACGCTTTCCAGGTGGCTCAAGCTGACTGTTTTAATTAGCAGCAGGGGAGGACTGTCTGCTCTCAAGCCTGTATCAGTTTCGCAAAACGTTCCCCTGGTCACCTACAAGAGTCCACGGCCTGGGTCTTAAAGTTGACCAAACTGACCTTGTGGACAGCTTCAATGATGCTGCAGATGCTTGAATCAGGCTCGCGGAACTCATAATATTTTATCTGTTCATGCCCAAGTGTGCTCATTCACAAGGAGCAACGTGGTCCCAGAGCTAGAGGCAATTGGTTGTAGTAATAGCCTAGCCTTTTCCTCCATCAAAATATTAGAGAGGTTGAATTAAAATAGGAAGATTAGTTCACGTGAGCTGAAAAGAAGGGCAAGGGTGGCCTTGAGTACATTTCCCTCAAGGTCTCTTGAAGCATGGTTATAACCATGGCTGCGTCACCATGGAGACTGTCCCTGAGCAACGCAGGGCTCTAGCCTCTGAGATTTAGCTTCTGAATTCTTGTTTAGTGCTAATTTCATTTGTCCTATACTCGCAGTAGATTGTATTCTTTATGCTAACTCACTATAACCTTTCTTCTAATAAAGCATAGTTATTTGAATTAAAAATCCAAAGTTAATATCTAGCACTTCCTTCATTTTAACTTTAATTTTTTGTTATGGAATCATGTTTTTCTTGGGGAGTTCATCGGATTAGATTTGTATGTTCCTAGAACTTTGCTTTGGGGAAGTTGCCTTGTTACTTCTAAAATGGACAAATTCATTATTCAACATTTGTGTTGAGTGGTTTGGATAACTTCATCCTCACAAACATGAGTGACAGGGCACTTTGGTGGCTAGTGTACTCAGAGGGTCACACAGACAGAGTTTCCAGACAGTGTTACAGTGAGTATTTGTGCTGTGGGCATCGGAGCTAAAGCAAGGTAAGGAGACATTCTAGAAGAGGTCAAGAAAATGAGGGAGATAACGCAGACGGGACCAGACTCCGTGCTCATGCCTTTGAACACCCATGGAGGACCTGCCGTGTGTTAGTTCTGCAGTCAGTTACGCTGTCAGCTACACGATGTTGGAAGACACTGGATTGGAGCTTGTTGAGCAGTCCCAACGGCAGCTGCACATAAAGTCACATAGGCCGTAGGGTGGGCTTGCTGCTTGATGCTGAATTGGTGGGTTGGGTGGGACTAAGAAACTGTAATCTCATGCTAAAGCTGGTCTATCAGATGATGGAGACGACTCAAAAGCACCTTAGCCTGACAGTGACACGAGACGGAGCACAAACTGTGGCTCAGCCCACGCTGACAACCTTCTGTTTCCCCCGCAAAGTGAATCCAGGTGGTGCTAGGGCGTGCGCATCCAACCTGGGCATGCGCAAATAGAATCTCATTGTCTGTGGCTAAAGGACCACAACCTGACCTCACCGCTCTCGTTTTAACTCTCCTCTGGAAAAGGCCAAGCTGATCCTTGGAGCTCTGTGCCGACGACATGACGCCAAGCATGTCAACGCTGGAGTGGGCCGCTGCTGCGACGACTCCTACCTATGCCTTCAGAAAGCCCTGCTTTGATGACCTGCACGTTGACGGAACTTACATTCCTCCACCTTTGTCTTGTGACCAAATCATCAGCCTTAAAGAGGACTTGTGCCGAGTACAGGAGGACGAGCTCCAAACTGAAAAGCAAAAGTAAGCCTGTGTTCATTTTGGTGTTTGCAACCAACAAGGGGGCTGATTGGGGGAAATTTAAGGCAGCTACTGCTATGCCTTCTGCATAATGAATACAGCAACTAAATGTTCTGTTGGAACTCAGATGGAATTCAATCGACTAGGCAAATTAGTCAGTATAGCTACTGTGTTGCAGTTCCTGCTTGGTCAGTTAATGAGAATGAAGCAAATTTAAAAAAAAAAATATTGGCAGAGGATACATTAATATAATTTCTCCAAAATGTTGACGTCCAGGCATTAGTCTGATACGGTGTTCCATGCAGGAAGCATTCTGTGGAAGAAGTTTGGGAGTGATGTATTTCCTTTTTCTTCTGAGAAAGTGACACTCTACACCGGAAATGGAAGTCAGGAAAATCTTGCGATAAAGTGATCTGTTCGGTTTGTTCTTAAGAATCAGTGAGGGGGCTTCAGAGATGGCCCAGTGGTTAAGATGCACACTGTACTTCCAGAAGACCTGGGTTTTGTTCACAGCAATCCATGTCAGGAGGATGTCAGACATAACTACCTGTAATTACAACTACAAGGGATCTGATACCCTCTTCTGTGCTCATGTGCACTTCACATACACACACACACACACACATAAACAAGCACACTAATTAATTAAAAGTTTAAAAGGACTCATTTAGACAGCAGAACTTACCAGGATTTCACAGGACTCTTATGTTGAGAAAGTCCTTTGGACTACTCCATCCGAACGGGGGATATTTCCTCATGTCCTTATATCCATTTGTGCAATCTTCAGGGGCTGTTAGGAGCCTTAGTTCATAAGAGCAGGTTTTTGAAGGTAGTAGGTGGGGGACGGGTGCAGCTGGTAGAAAGGCAGTATCGATGAGAGTGTAGGTCTTCAAATCCTTGATTTTTTTCCTTCTTGGGCGGGGGCGGAGGGGGGGAGGGGGGGAGTCTCACATAGTCCAGGCTGGCCTCGACTCACTATGTGGCCAAGGGTGATCTTGAATCTGCGTTCCTTCTCTACCCCTGGAGTGTGGAGATTAGAGGTTTACTCTGCTGGTGACCAAACTCTGAACTCCATGCTAGCTAAGAAAGCACTGCCCCACTGAGCTACATCCCCTGCCCTTCCTTTTTCTCTTTAAATGCAATTCTTTGCACCAGATGAAGCTTTGCAGTGACTTACTATAATACAAGGAGGCAAGCTGACCCTAGATGCTCCAATATAGCACATACGCATTCCAAAGCCATTTTCTATGAAAACATGAAGTCAAAGCACCATTGGAGGAGTGGCAAGTCCTCCCAACATCAAATTTAGGAACGCCTTCCAAAACACACTTTGTAGTTTCTTCATAGCTATTCGTAGTTACTGCTGCCTGTTCCATCATTAGAAGTGTTTAATTATTAAAAAACTCCTCCTTTCATTATAGAAGTCTGTTTTCTTGCCAGTTCCCATCACAGTTCTACTTCTGAAACTACAGTGAAAAATACTTCACAGGCACTCTGCGTTATGGACACATTTTTTAATATATATATATATATATATAATTTTATTTTTGAGATTATAACATAATTACATCATTTTACTCCTTTTCCTCCCTCCAATAATAAAAATGAACATATTCTTGTTACCTGATGGTTAAGTGAAAATGAGACAGAGTTATTTTATTTTAATCTTAAATATAATAACTTAATCTGTAGTTGACCTCCAGGGAACGATGAGAACAACGATGACCATTGCCTTGCAAACTTACATTTGGCCATGGAAATGTGTCTATGCCTATAGTATTTACCTAAACATCAAACACTAAATAGTGGATCTTTCCACTAAAGGCTACTGTAAGTTAGCACAATTAGCCCAGGCTTGATGTGAGAATATAAGAAATTATAATTTGAAAATTAATTTTAAATAGTATATAAACAATCATTTGTTTTAAATGAAATGATAGGACCACTAATACTGTAGAAACAAAAACTTGGAAACAAATTGGTAGTAATAAGGGTTAAACCGGACATATTTTTTTTATTGCTCTTACTGAGCTATACATTTTCCCCACTTCCCTTCCTTCCTCCCCTCTGCCTTTCAACCCGTCCTCCTTCCCCCTGGCACCCCACGCTCCCAACTCGTCTTCTTCTTCCTAAGTGGATAAAAATTTAAAAGGTAAACTAGAAACTGAAGTATGGAAAATACTAGAGGACTAGAGGCAGCCAGGTCGAGATTGGGGCTGTGGAGAGGTAGGGACAGGGAAGGTTAAACGACCCCAAAGGCCCACCCCCGCGCCCCCGTGTGACCGTGATGGGGTGAGCCTGCAGCGAGGCAGCACTGCCCTACAGCCCTCCCATCCCCATCCCTGGTAAAGAAATGGCAGCTTTGGGGTTCAAAGTGGCCAGAGTATCAAAACTCCCGGATGTTCCCGCCCAGGCACAGGGCCTTTTCTCCTTGTTACAGGGAGAACTACCGAACTCAACCCATGTGCTCATCCTCTCTCTACTGGCCATTCCGAGAACTGCATCCAGAAACTTGGCTGAAGGGCTGGCAGAAAGAAGGCCGAGTGCTGGGATACTTCCAGAGACCAGACTAGAGCTTTTGTTTGGGAGGTGTCAAGTCATGGAGGTGTTTGGGAACTCGCAGTTGTGAGTGAGAAGAGAGAGGGGAGTGCTTGTGAGGGAGCTTCATTACAACTGAAGACTTACTTAAGACTAGCCAAGACACTCCCTGATGATTTGCTAGTAAGTGAAGGCATAGGAGAGCCCTGAAGAGGGAGTCATTTGTGTGTGTGTGTGTGTGTGTGTGTGTGTGAGCGTGTGAGCGTGCACGTCTTAGAAAAGGAGACCCTAGTTGAAGAAACATAATTCAAAATGGGTGAAGTGATCCTACCATCATCACCAGCACTACCATCACAGATTGATATTTCTTTTGAGACTCACTTATTGAGTATTTTCAATGTGCTAGACGCTCCAGTAGGTTCTCTACTCAGTCTTTTAGTATGCCATCTATTCCTGTCTCCTTCCATTACTTTGGGATGTTAATGGCCCAGACTAGACAGGGGAACTGCAAACAGATGTTTACACACAGGGAAGTCACATGGTGCAGGCTGCCAAGGTTCATGATTTGATCTTCTCCGTGATGGTTAGTGTCTGTGGCCTGGGACCCGAGTTAAACTAGTCCCTTTACAGTTTCCCAGTGCGATTCTGTTTCAATAGGAAAACATATTTTGAGAGAAAACACAGCAAACTGCAGTTGGAAGAAGTCTGTATTTCTCTGAATAATCAGTTTGCTACAATCTGATAATTAGTATTCAAAGGCGGCATAAACTGATTGGGTTCGACACCCAAACTATGTGTACATAGTTGGCATGGAGAGAGGAACATGCAGCACTTGTAAGAGGGTTTCAGGTCAGGTCTAATAAAGAATAAAGACTGAATATTTATAGAACTGCTGGCTAGAAAAATTGTATATTCTGACTTTTATAAAATATTGATTTGTTTGAGAATAAATGCAACTGTGATCGTTTATAAAATACAGGCAAATAGAAAAGAAAATTCTGTCACTCAAGCCCACAGTGTAGAGACACACACTATAAATCCATGTGCGGCACAGGAGTACATGATGTCGTATTCGTAGGGTGGGTGCCCACTTCCGCAGATTGCTTCCTGCCCACCAGCCTTTGGGTCCTATTTGATTAATAATGCAGGGCCTGCTGGCTCGTGCTACAGCCTGCTGCTGTAGCATTTCTGTGCCAGCGATCGTCTACTTATTCTTCTTTCTCATTTCCCTAGTGGTTAAATTTCTCTTGTCCTAAAGCAGAACAGAAAGGAAGGGGAGGGGAGGAAGAGAGGCAGGGAGGGAAGGAAAACATGGTGGCCGAAACTCTCTTGCTAGCTGTGAAAGAGTCATCCCTGAGGGAATTCTGAGATGCCAGGCAAGCTGCTGAATCTTCAGACTCACTTACAGGTCTTGTCATTAAGTGCATGCAGGAGGCTCTCGGCTTCCACCACATCAGACTGGTGATGTTCATGTGGAAGTTAGGTGCTCAGAATGCACAGTGAAACCGGAAACCCTAAGGCACTGCATTTCATTCACGTGCAAGAGAATGACAGCAAACAAAGCTGCTCACCTTAGCAAGAATTATGTAACGATCACTGAAGTCATGTGACCTTTATGTTAAGAAGGTAGAATGGCGGAAAAATGCTTATGAAAGACGAAGCTAGAGGTGCACATTGTGTATACTATGAGACCATCATGTCCCTTTTCAGTATCTTTAACTGAAGAGCACGGGAGCGTGAGAGCGTAAGGCGGGCAAGGATGGTAAGCCAGTAAGACAGCCTGGCCTTGCCAACTCAGGTGCTAACCTCCCATCCAACCCCCCTTATTTCTGCTTTAGGCTCCTCAGTAACCTCGTGAAGCAGAGGCCACAAGCGGCAGAGGATGCATTCCAGGCCGTTGGCGCGGAGTTCACGGAGCTGGTGGCGATGTGCTGCCACGCAGAAGAGCAGGAACCATGCTTTCAGGAAGAGGTATCTCGTCTCTTGAGTAAACAACAGAAGATGCTGAGTGTTGCTGCAAGGGAAACCCTTTCCCTCTGCTCGAGGACTAGATGTGTAGGAGTGACTGACCATGCTATGCCTGGGCTCTGGGTGTCTTACCAGTTATGTATGTTTAGAAGACTGAGACAAAAATAGGAGAATTAGACACAACACCTACGGTGCCAGAGGGGAGGGGATGCTTACAGGCAGGAGTGGGAGGAGGGATTGAAGGCCTAGTCTAGCGGTAGAGAAATGGAGTCATTTAAAAATTGGAAATAAAAAAAAAGACAAGTTTAAACATCTGTTAGAGAAAATTGTGAGGTTTTTGCTTGGCTCCCAACGTGGGGCTATTTTGCCCCCGACTCAAGCACGTAGCCTTCTAGCTAACACAGCACGCCCCCGGGTGCTGTTTTTTAGTTCGTGACTCGGGCCCCAGTACCGAGTCCGAGACACACTCGGCCACACAGGCCCATTTTGCCCCGCCTGCTCGCCAGAGCAATTAACCCCTCCCTGCCTGCCTTGGCTAAGTTTGCAGGGGAACCCCACTGCTTGAATTAGCAGAAGCTCAAGTACCTGCAGTTTTGCAACAAAAGCCGCCACAGTGGCAAATTTGGTCTGATCCAAAGTGACTTGGCCAGGCGGTGGTGGCGCACGCCTTTAATCCCAGCACTTAGGAGGCAGACGCAGGCAGATCTCTGTGAGTTCGAGGCCACCCAGGCGGTGGTGGTGCACGCCTTTAATCCCAGCACTTGGGAGGCAGAGGCAGGCAGATCTCTGTGAGTTCGAGACCAGCCTGGTCTACAAGAGCTAGTTCCAGGACAGGCTCCAAAAACACAGAGACCACCACTGGCAGGAACCAATCATTGCAGGTAAAAAAATTTTCTTTTATAAATAAAATGTCTGAACACGTTACTATTCAAGAATTTAACAGTTTTTTAATTGTACCATGTGGGAGATTTTACAAGAGGTGTCTATCACCCCACATCTATGGATCCTTCTGGGATTCATAGTTTTCATTGGCACTAAATGGTTTGATAATAGAAATATGATAAAGTCTTTACGAGACGAATCCAGGATTCTTAAGGCAGAGATTGAACGCTTAAAAACAATTGAGAATGACAATAATCTTCTCAAGAATCAGTTTGAAGTTCTCCAGGCTGATGTTAAGGAGAAATTCATTACTATGGAAGAGGGAACAGCTGATTTGGATTGTAAGCTTCAGTCCCTTTCTGTAGGAACTGAAACATTAGTGGCTGATATTAAGGAGAAATTCATTACTATGGAAGAGGGAACAGCTGATTTGGATCATAAGATTCAGTCCCTTTCTGTAGGAAATGAAACATTAACTGAGAGAATCAAAATTGCTGAATGTGACAATCGGATTTTGTCTAAAGCTTATGACAGATTGACGGAAAGATTGTCAATACAAGAAGGCACAGTTTAAGCCATAAAAATTATGTCCAAAGATGAGATGTTATCTCTAACGGACAAACTTCATACTTTAGAATCCTCAATGAAGGCTTTGGAACATAATTCTGGACAGGAGATTCAGATATTGCAAAAGGCAATGGTGAATAGAATTGAAAAGATTGAGGAATTTCTAAATTCTGATGAAGAAGAGCAAAGGGTAGAAAGGCAAATTTTAACTACATCTGTGGGTAAATCTCTCCGGGACAATTTCCACAAAGCTCTACCTACAGCTCTACCTGCCTTTCCAGTAATAACAACAGAGAAGGTGATTGGTTCCAGAAACCCTAGGGTCATCAAGGAGGATACATGGGAACCTGTCCGTATGAATGACCTCAAGGAAATTAAACAGGCTATCATGACTTTTGAGATGCAAGCCTCTTTTGTTAAAGAGATGCTAAGATCTTGGGCCACGACAAGCAGAGCAACCCTCTCGTACTGGCTCCAGCTGAGCTCTGCGGTACTTGAGAGTGGACCACAATTGAAATGGAAATGCTTATTCAGGCAAGAGGCTAGACTCTTAGAACAGCAGGAAAAAGCGAAGGGAATTGACATTTCCCTAGATCAAATTCTAGGTGAAGGGCTCTTTTCCGACCCTCAGGAACAAGCTAATTTGGATGAAAACACACTCTCCATGTGTACTACAGCAGCCTTAAGGGCTTGGGACATGGTACAAGACCCAGGACAGAGAATGGAATCATTTGTCAGAGTTAAACAGTGTCAGAGAGAACCCTTTAGTGACTTTTTACAAAGATTAACTAAGGCTGTACAAATAGGGATATCTGGCCCAGAAGCAAGACGTATAATGATTGAGTCTTTGGCTTATGAAAATGCAAATGTGGAATGCAAAATGATTTTGGGGCCTTTAAAGCTCAGATCAGTGCCCTTGGAAGAATGGGTCTTGCATACACTCAACGTTGATACATTTGATTATGGCACTGAAGCATGGGTAGAAGAAGCAATTTCCAATGGTAAAAGGAGATACCAGAATACCAAATGTTTTAATTGTGGCAAAATGGGTCATATGAAAAGGAATTGTAGACAATGGATTTTCAGAAATAATAATAATAATGCATCTTTCAGAAATAATAATAATAATAATAATAATAATAATAATGCATCTTCTAGAAATAACAGAAATAGGAGGACTCAGCCTTCAGGTTTATGTAGAAGATGTGGAAAAGGCAGACATTGGATGAATGAATGCAGGTCTACAAGAGATAGACAAGGCAACCAGATACAGACAGGAAACGTGAGGGGGGGGGTTCAGTCATTTCCAGTTTCTGCAGAGAACGTGCCTCATCAGGACAATTAGGAAGCTCCATGCCTACTCTTACAAGCAATAATGATCAGAAAGATAAGTTACGTGTGTTTTGGCAAACTTTTATAAATGATCAAAGACCTAAACTGAGAGTGTGTGTAAATGGCATTTTTATTACTGGCCTGCTGGACACAGGTGCTGATGTAAGTATCATTACCCCCAGAATCTTGGCATCCGTGTTGGCCTCTTCGGAATGTAAATGTTCAGCTCCTGGGAATTGGAACCCTATCTCGAGTAAGGCACAGCACGAGGTGAGTTGAATGTATAGGGCCAGAGGGACAAATAGGAAAATTAAGGCCATATGTAGCCAATATCGCAATGAATTTATGGGGTCATGACCTATTACAACAATGGAATACCGAAATTAACATTCCTGCTACTTCTAGAGCCTATATTTCTGAGAATAATATTAAAAGATATTACAAACGGAGAAAACCGGCCATTCGGGCTGTACAAGAACAAGCAATTGATGTCCCTTCAGAGATACCAACAGCCTTGCCTCTAAAATGGTTGACTGAGAAACCAATATGGACAAAGCAATGGCCTTTAGCTGAGGAAAAGTTCCAGGCTTTAGAACAGCTGGTACAAGAACAATTAGATGCTGGACATATAGAAGAATCTCCCAGCCCTTGGAATTCTCCTGTATTTGTGGTTAAGAAAAAATCAGGTAAATGGAGAATGGTGACAGATCTCAGGGCCATCAACAAGGTTATTCAACCTATGGGCCCTCTGCAATCTGGAATTCCTTTGCCCTCTTTATTGCCAAAAGGATGGCCTCTCATAGTTATTGATTTAAAGGATTGTTTTTTTACTATACTTTTGCAAAAAGAAGATAGAGAAAAATTTGCATTCACAGTGCCTACTTATAACAATTCTCAACCTTTGAGGAGGTACCACTGGGCCGTCCTCCCCCAGGGTATGTTAAATAGCCCCTCCCTGTGCCAATATTTTGTGAACCAACCATTGCAAATAATACGCAAGAAATTTCCCAAATCTATAGTATACCATTACATGGACGACATTTTGTTATCCGATTCAAACATGGATACCTTGAACAGACTGTTTGAAGAAATACAGATACTTTTACCGAAATGGGGATTGAAAATCGCTCCTGAAAAGATTCAGAAGGGAGATTCTGTTAATTATTTAGGTTATAAAATAGGTTTGCAAAAAATTAAGACACAAAAAGCACAAATTAGGAGAGATCGTCTACAGACTCTTAATGACTTTCAAAGACTGTTAGGAGACATTTCCAGTCTACGACCAGCTATTGGAATAACACCTGATTTAATAATTCATTTGAACAAAACCTTGGATGGTGATAAAGATTTAAACAGTCCCAGAGAATTAACAGCTGAAGCAGAAAAGGAACTGACAATGATTGAGGAAAAATTACAACAGGCACATGTGGACAGGGTGAATCCAAAGCTCGATTGTATTCTTGTCATACTACCATCAAAAATTTCTCCTGCAGGAATTTTAATGCAGAGAGATGATATTATTCTGGAATGGATCTTTTTACCACATAAACCAAGTAAGAAACTGGAGACTAATGTGGAAAAAGTCTCTGAGTTAATTATAAAAGGCAAGCTGAGACTTCGTCAACTAGCAGGCATAGACCCAGCAGAAATTATAGTGCCTTTCACTGCTGATGAACTAAAGAAATTATGGGAAGATAATGAACCATGGCAAAGAGCTTGTGGTAATTTTTTGGGAGACATTAATAACAACTATCCAAAAAGCAAGAGGCTTAACTTCATAAAGAGAACTTCTTGGATTCTTCTTCGAATCGTCCGTGATGCTCCAATAACTGGAGCCCGTACATTCTATACTGATGCCAATAAATCAGGGAAGGCAGGTTACAAATCAGAAGACTTGGGTAAGGTGGAACAAAGTCCTTATAATTCTGTCCAGAAGGCGGAATTATATGCCATTCTTATGGTGCTAAGGGATTTTAAGGAACCTATTAATATAGTCACTGATTCACAATACGCAGAAAGAGTTATTTTACATATTGAAAATGCTGAATTTATACCTGATGATACAGAACTAACCTCATTCCTGGGTCCCGGGTCCTGGGTCCTGGGTCCTGGGTCCTGGGTCCTAGGTCATTTGCTCCCTAGGAATTTCTGGGGCACAATCAGGAAGAACCCCTTCCTGTTGTTTGAGAGCATGAGCTGAGGATTTCATTTCCTGCATGGACAGAACTTCATGAACACAGTGGGTGAGGAACACAAGAGGAAAGATGGGGCCAGAGTATGTTCAGGTGCATGTACACACATACACACACACACACACACACACACACACACACACGCTAAACTCTCACACACATGCTAAACCCACACACATGTTACACACACACACA